ATCATACTTCATAGATTATTTTAAGGTGTAAGGTTAAATCTAGATTTAAATTCAATAGATGATTGGTGAATTAGATTCACGATGACGATCAAATTTGGAATAAAACCTGATCAGAAAGTTTTATCTTGATGCAGATGAGCACCGAAATTCCCCAACGTAGGCCTGCCGGAACCCCGGGGCTCTAAAGGGTGACATGAAGGCAAACCGCAGTCAAACTACTTCACGACGATGAAAATCAAAGTGCAATTTCAAGAGAAATATTTTCCTAGCCTTTTCCCCACAAATCTGTTGAGAACAGTCTCAAAATGTAAAGAAATTACAGTAGATCACGAATTACAGCTTTTTCAAATTAATTACTAAATTCTCTTAATCTACTGATATTTCAATCAATTACTCACCCATATGCATTCTCCGTGAACTAAATCTTCTCACTTTGTGCGAGTATAGCGCGCGTCGTGCATTCCCACCTCGATATGAATATTTAAGAGAATCGAGACTTTCCCCAACCCTGCCTAATGAATATTCATGATAAAACAGGAATCCGGCCTCGCCGTGGTACGAAAAAATAAGACGCAGCCTGGCGTCCTAATGTAATGGTCACGCCATCATCGGCTGGTAACAAGTAAGTAGGGAGAGGTATAGACTATAGCGTTGGTGTGGTGGTGGAGATCAAAATTAAATAGGCCAGAATCTGGACTATACGGTAGTCGGAGCTAAAGCCGGTGTAATGATATTCAATGTCCTTTGGAAGCGCATTGAGACGTTTTATTTTCATGTGATAATTGCTAAACAAGAACGGACAATAAGTATTCGTAGAGATTAATCAAACCTTGATTCGATGGTACGATGATGAACATTTACTCTAAAATATGATGTGAAATCGAATAGGAAAATTGCCAAGAGTATATTATCCTGGATAATCTTCATAATGTTTCCAATCATCTTCTTATTTTCTATTTCAAAATGGAGATATATTATAACCATTGATTTTAGGTCGGGTTTGTTTATATTGATTTAAGAATCGCATTTTACGAATATATATATATATATATATATATATATATATATATACACTGTTGGTCATAATGGTGGAATAATTATTTTTACCCCAGTTTAGGGAAGGATTTTAAAAAATTATTTATTTTTAATAGATCTAGATAATGGCATACATTCTCAGACTTTATTGAATATTAATTTGCGAGTGTTTGTTTTGCGTGACTGCTAAATCATAGGTGTGCTACTATGCTAATCAGCTAGGGAACCTACGTCTTTAAATCATAATTGACAGTAATGAGGATTAATGCCTCACAAAAGGGCACTAATATAGCTGATCGACACGATTTTTATCCTGGGGCCTCACAGTAACGAGGCCATTGCTTAGCCCCTGAATCATGACTGTATGCAGTGTTTGCTAGGGTACGCGACCCCTTCCACAAATCCCCCAAAACGAAGAAAATACAACAAATTGTCAAAAATTCATTGCATTTTCCCCCGGCCCCCAACAGAAAAAATTCCTCTGTGTGGCCATGCCTTGAACCATAATGTATGGCCCTACAGAGGAATTTTTCCTGTTGGGGGCCGGGGGGAAATGCAATGAATTTTTGACAATTTATTGCATTTTCTTCGTTTTGGGGGATTTGTGGAAGGGGCCGCGTACCCTAGCAAACACTGCATACAGTCATGATTCAGGGGCTAAGCAATGGCCTCGTCACTGTGAGGCCCCAGGATAAAAATCGTGTCGATCAGCTATATATTAGTGCCCTTTTGCGAGGCATTAATCCTCATTACTGTCAATTATGACTTAAGGACGTAGGTCCCTTAGCTGATTAGCATAGTAGCACACATATAATTAAGCAGTCACGCAAAACAAACACTCGCAAATTAATATTCAATAAAATCTGAGAATGTATGCCATTATCTAGATCTATTAGAAATAAATAATGTTTAAAAATCCTTCCCTAAACTGGGGTAAAAATAAATATTCCACCATTATGACCAACAGTGTATATATATATAATAAGGGTGTTAGTGTGCCTCTTTTTTAATTCGGAGACAATATTATTAATGTACTGGGCTTACACACCATGTGTATGTATACTTTAATTAGATTGTAATATTCATATGCCTGCAATGCAATATGATGAAAAATACATCTATTATGAATTCACAAGCTGTCGTCTTTGTGTGATGTTTAAGTGGGATGTGTATGCATCTAGTTCTCCATTCTCTACCATGCTTCTCCAGAAGCTGAGATGTTTGAAAGTTATGATTAATATATTTTAAAATCAGAATAATCCCTCCCCCACCCCTTAAAAATAAAAAATAATTATATTAATAATTAATTAATTAAATTGTAAATAATAATTAAATAATAAATATATATATATTTTTTTTAATAAAAAGGAAGCAACGATAATAAGGTCTCCCATGAAATTCCATTAAGAGGTTTTGGATTTAAAAGTAGTACGCTGCTATTTTGATAACAGGCATAGAATTTTGTATACAATTATGAAAATTATTAACCGAATCGTCATTCTGTGATGATTCTTATTATGCATTTTCGTTGCCATGATGCTGAAGGTTTATGCCTCTCTCTTTTTGTCTCTCTCTCTCTCTCTCTCTCTCTCTCTTTCATTTATTATGTCTGCCTCCCTCTATATACCCCCCCCCCCCTCTCTCAACTAGGCGTTGTGGCGTGCGCCTGTAATCCAGCTAAAAAGTGGAAGTTACAAACTGATTCAGCCGAGGACACAGGTTCGAAACTGAATCACGTCTTTCGGATGGTGACGTTTAAAGGTCGGTCCCAGACGTAAATAATCATATCTGATTGATACACGTCTGTAAAAACCCAATACACACACACACACACACACTCTCTCTCATTCATTTATTATGTCTGCCTCCCTCTATATCCCCTCTCTATTTCTCTACTTCATTATGCATCTCTCTCTCTCTCTCTCTCTATATATATATATATAATATTACTTTCTCCATATATACGCCTCCCGCGCTCTGATTCAATGTTCATGTATGTCTCCCTCTATTCTATACTCCTCTCCCTCCCCCTCTGTCTCTCTCTCTCTAACTCAGTATGTATATCTGCCTCCCCCTCTCTCTCTCTCTCTCTCTCTATATATATATATAAACATGTATATACATCCCCCTTTCATTCACTCTGTCTCTCTCTCTCTCTAATACATTTGTATGTCTGTCTCCCTCTGTTCTGGGCCGCCTCCCCCCCCCCCTCTCTCTCTCTTTCTCTTTCTCTATCTCCCCTCCCTTTCCCTCTTTTTGTACAAATGACATTTATCTGCCCATGCGCAGATAATCTGCGAGGCGGATATTTCTTTTCATTATAATCATGCTTTTCATAACTTTTAAGGACCGATTTTTTTTTTTTCAAGACGTAATATAAAAGGGATTACTTCACAGAGAGAACAATTCAGCTAGAAAATATCAACTTGTAAATATGATATTTGATAAACTTTATTGGTCTAAATCTATGTACACAAATAAAAAGGGCTATATAGTTGGCCTTTACATAATAAACAAGGAAAAGATTAAACTTTTCATGGAAATCGGGCAAGAAAAATTGATCACCTCATAATAACATTCAACACAACAAAACCTGAACAGTTATAAACAGACATGGATATATCATCTGAATAACTTATAAATACACATTATAAAATGAAACAAGCACGACATTTTAAATTCGCAAATGTATTCATAGTTTGCGTCAAACAGGTAACTAACATATTTCATTAGTATCTAACAGTAAGTGCTACCACTCTGAGTCTACTTATATATTCTAAATTTTCTGACTGATTTCATAATATTCTTGACACATTCGAGTAATTCAATCATCAATTAATTCTCACTAGACTTCAAATTTCTCCTCTAGGATTCTTTCTACTTGTATTTCTTGTTTTTCTTTAGAGGGTATAAAGAACGTCAAATCGAAAGCTAATGGATCTACAATGACAAAAAACTAAAAAATGGAAGAGCAGAGTAAAATCAGAAGAGATAAGCAAGGTTGAATCTATAACGATTAATTACACGTTTAAAGAGATCCACTCATGAATTCCCAACCTGGAAACCGGTCTATTACCAATCTGGACCCTGTTTCATAAAACTTGATATCAATAACATGTTACAAGCTACTGTTATAAGCTACTGACATCAACTCATCTAATTGGCTGAGAGCAAATTTGTCATAGAACTTTAGCATTTGTTATCGATAAAAAGTTGTATGAAACGGGCCCCTGAAATATCTCTCGTTTGCAATTAAAAAATAATAATTAGAATAAGAGATTTACGTGTATATCAGGTACTCTAACAATTCATTGACAACAACAAAATTGATTAGTCCTTTAACACAATATTCAATTATTGCCATCGTCGGAGTTTAACAATCAACCCAAGACTAACAATGCAAAGAAAAACTTGCCCTTTGCAAACGAAATCCGCGAGAGCAAATTTGTGACCCGCTGATATTTATTCACGCAGAATCATTAGCATCCTAACTCTTGTCCAAATACATTTCAAAACATGAACATAAATTTCAGGTGCATAGACATCCCTGAAGCAAGAGTGGTGGAACAGAAGTTTTTATTCTTACAGGGGGCCGGGGGGGGGGGGGATATATTTGAATTTTAATCTCCTGAGCAAATCGGAAATGGTGTTAAAATATCGAGAGTGGTAAGACAGAGTAGCTAATGTCCATTGCACATGACACGTCATCTCCATTGAGCTATTACTTACGCTATTCAAGCACTTGAAAGCAATTAATGAATTCGCCAGTAATTCAATTCCATTCCAAAGCACAGTTTACATTATTCAATAAGCAATCACATTGGCCCGAATTCACAAATGAGGTTTACATTTAACCCATGGTTTAAACCCTCATTTACATAACCCATGGTTTAAAACAAGCGCAAAATAAGCGCGACACAAGTCAGAGGTCCAATATCAGACGCGCGCAAGGCAAGGTACGCTTATTTTGAACTAATTTTAAACCATGGGTTATGTACATGAGGGTTTAAACCATGGGTTAAATTTAAAACTCCTTTGTGAATTTGGGTCAAAGTGTCCGTCATTACTCTCACATGGCGCTGTCAAACGCCGCGCCAGTCACTGACGCAAGCCTACGTCAGACAAATGACGCCTCATGTGCAACAGATTAAGCGTAGCACCTTGGGTGACATTTGAATATGTTATTTTACACTAAGGTCTCTGCAATGTTGTACACCATTTGCTCGGATTCGTCTTGACTGTGCAATGAGCTCAGCCCTGTATCCGAGCTAGAGTCTGTGTCACATGACCGCGATGGCGATTTCCTATTGGTCATGTCGATGGGTGAGAAGTCATGACCGATCCCCTGATCGAGACTCGATTCCATGGAGCTATTCTTACTCCGCACGTTGTCCGGGGTCGATTGACTCTGCTCGACGCATTCGCGGATTTCGTCATCTTCAGTAGATTTGTCATGGACATCCCTCTCCAACTGCGCTAGTTCATTGGTAAGTTCGTTCAATCGGTCATATTTATCTTTAAACATATTCTCAGTGTCATGTAGCTTATCCTGCAAACTGTCAATCTCCTTGCGTTGTGCCATGCTGGTATCGGCCGACCGCTCTAACTGCGTTCGTGCAAAACCGATGTCCTTCGCTGCGCGATTGTGCATCAACTTCGTGCTACAAGCACCTCGTTTCTTTTCGTACCTTCTCGGTCTTGCGTTCGGTTTCACTTCGCCAGAATCGTCCTCCTGCTGTGACCTTTGCTGGGAAATTTCCTGGGCCAAATCAGAAACAACATCCTGAGTTTGTCTTAGTTGTTCGTCCGCGTGGAAGAGCCTGTCGCACAAGGCCGTGTATTCCTCGAAATCATGAATGGCAGCTTCGTGAGGTGTTGGTGGAACCCGCATGTTGAAATCAGGATTATGATCCTCCATGTTCATATGTTGAAAAGGGTTATCACAGTGACCTGAGCTATTACTGCCGTCAGCAACCCCATCATCATTACCCGAACCTGATAGATAGGCCTCTTGGACATAGTTCCTACCATCAACCTGCATTCTCAGGTTGTGTAACATTGTTTCATAGTTCTCAATGTCTGTGTCCACTGTGGATATTGTCTCTAGAAGATTATGCAGTTGGTGACTCTGCTTAAGAATCATCTGAATTAGAACCTCAGAGTCTTGTTCGTTTGACGGGAGTTTCGTCTTCCCTTCGACCTCCTCTGCGAGTGTTGTCGGACCTTCTGCGGTTACCTTACCGCTTGAGCTGGACGTCGACGCGCTAGAATCACAATCCAACGGCGGCGGGCACAAAATGCGGACGTCAGAGAAGCCAACGTCACTCTCATCCGCCCAACTTCGTCTCCGCTTTTCTTTCTTCTTACTCTCGCGACTACCACCACCATCACCTGGTCCACTACTAGTTTTTTTCTTCAGGTCAAAGGCCACAATACCTTTCTTGAGGTTGTACTGTCCTTGGCTGCTCACCTGCTTGGTCTTATCTCTGAGCTTAATCCCACCGCTGTCACCATCAACCTCACTGTCCAAGCTGTTGCGACGTTTGGAAATCGCGACGCTCTTCCTCAGCGTGAACTTGACGTTGTCGCGCTCCGCTCCCCACGCCTTCCACAGTTTATACATCCGCGTGCGTGGGCTGAGCTGACGCTCGCATCCTCGCCACTTCTCGAAGAGGGCGTAGCACTCGAGGTTCGCAGGGGAAAGTTCGCACTTGGAGAGTTTGTAACGGTCTTGGAGGAGAATGCCGATGACATCTTCGCATCTGGTGTGGCGGTTGAGACCTCCAACGATCTTCTCCTTTCCACCCACCCACACCGGCAATTCGTTCATCTTTTTAGCACTCTGGAGAGGACGAGTCAATACCGGTCAATACCATGAGGATACCTACAGGTGAAGAAAAAAAAGGAAAGAAAAGGAAAATTAAACATCAATGTTCATGAGGTGATTTGGATTGGGTAGATTGTGTCGGTTTATCAGATTCAAATCCCAGTCACATGAATGAACTCGACACCAGACCGATCAAGAAATGACATAGCCTCGAATGGCCAACAATCAGTCTATTTGGGGTCGACTTCGGGTCGGTTTGGCGGTGTAATTGAGGTCTGGAGTTAACCAATCTCAATTAGAGACCTAATTTTCACAAAATGAAATTTGAAGAAACCTGAAAATGACATCGTAAGTAATTCATTTTGTCTTGAAGGAGGAAAATGACTATGGAATGAAAAGATGACAGGCAACACACTACAACGTCACAATATTACTGAATAAATGTGGTGTAGCTACCAGATCCTGCATAGGTACACACACTGACCTTTACCTCAAAATATTTCCGCTTAAAGTAGCTAAACGCCGGAAACATGAGAGGAAATTTCTACCCTGTTCTAAACACCAGACACATACTTGTCTCTTGACTTGACGTCGATACTTATTTCACTTAATTGATTGGGAGTTCCAGAACTATCACACGCAATGGTAAGATGTACCTCTGTCTTGCTTGTATCAGTATATATAATTAATGTTATTCTAGTGTATGTATGACCTTTGATACGTGATATAACTTTTTGCTAAATATTCTGATTTCTTCTACCGATAAAACTATATGATTACTGTTTTCTTTGGTATACAAAGTACGTTATTTCGTTGAATACACTTTGTTTTCATGTGCTACGAAATACATGTGTAAGATTAAATGCTGATTGCTGAATTCTCAGAGAAAGGCATATGCAGTGATTCAGATTAAGTAAAAAAAAAAAAAAAAAAAACTGAAAATGCAGAATTAAGGCTCGTTCAGATATGAAGGTTAAGCAACGGTGTAAACAGGTCCTACGCGTATTCAATGAACTCTGTGATGTAAGATACAGATTTACGTGAAGCGTGTTACACTTACATCATAATTATACAGTTTATGGGTGGTATTCTCGAAAGCGGACTAACTTTAGTCCATGGTTTAATCCTCCGACTAAGTATGGAATGCCAAGTGTCCATATGAATATATTTTTGAATAATTTGATATGTCCCTAACTTACCATGATAACATAATTATTTCATAGTTATATTGTCGGTCGTTAATTATGTTATTACATTTTATTTTAATTTAGTGACAGATTAAATTATTTAAAAACATATTCATATGGACACTTGGTATTCCATACTTAGTCGGTGGATTGAACCATGGACTTAAGTTAGTCCGCTTTCGTGAATACCACCATAATTATGATTACGGCAGTTTACTACGTCATATCTAAGGGATATCTAGGGATAAAGGCCTAACCACCCAATCAATCACGTAAGAACATTCAAATTAAATCAAAGATTCGTCACTGGCAATCTTGAATTAAGCGTGACATTGTCTGCGTGACAGAATTCAGAAACGAAACTTAACACTGAGCGTGTAATGTTTCTTGTAAACAGGTGGATCAATTGACTGAAGAACAAATTGAAGGTAGGATCTTGATATTTTACATTTTCCAATATTTTCTTTCGTCCTTTCTAGAATGCATAATACATTAATATGATGCTTAAAGATAAAGAACCCATGTTGCAGTTTTAAGGTTCTAAAACTTTCCTATTCAAACAGATGAAAATAAGACACTAGTATAGAATGATTAACATGATCTAATATTCAATGATCTAGTCGGATATATATATGGTACTTATGAATGTACATGTAGCTATCATCGTCTAAATGAATTTCTATCAATGTGTTTTGATAGATGTTTCTTTAATAATAAGACAATTCTCCTTACATTTTGTAGTCCACAATTTGTGCGGTATCTCCGATTACAGACCTCCTACTATTAATTATGAGTGACTTGCAATACGCATGATTGACAAATGGTGCAAGAACTTTTGCACCAAAGTGAAGTTGACGCTAGTATATGTAATCCTTCATAATTAGGAAATGTTGATTCGTAGTCATTGAATGTTTTGACATCACTGAATGATTCTCGGACAACTAAACCCTGGTCAAATAGAGATCTCTGGCAAGGGTTGTGTTAATTTTATAAAGTGGGCATAAGCTATCTTACATGTCTCATTGTAGATTTCTTTAACATTTCTAACCTATTGGGTTGATTGGAGGGAGGGGGGGGGGCAGAATGCCCGGGACTAAATGTCCACCGTGATAGCTGTCCAGTGGTGTTAGTTGTCCGAGGCGCCATATGGTGTACGGTGTGCCCAAAGGCGACCGGGTGTAATTGTCCTAATTGTCCAAGGGGAGACAGAGGTCTATAGTGGATAGCTGTCCGTGTAAAGTTGTCCAGTGCGGAAAGTTGTCCGACCGTGTTAGTCCGGGAGTAGGTGTCCTGATACTGATTACATTTGAGTATCGTCAATCATTTTTTCAACCCACAGAATACAAAGAGGCGTTTGCCATCTTTGACAAGAACGGAGACGGTATCATTACGACGAAAGAACTGGGTGAAGTGATGACGTCATTTGGGGAATCCCCCAATGAGGGGGAGCTCCGAGATATGGTGAACGAGATCGATGTTGACGGTACTAATAATTATTTTATTTCCATTTTTTTAAATTAATCTTTCTAAAATCCACTGTCGGGAAAATGTATGCTCATACAAATGTCCTTTATTTAAAAAAAAATCAACAATTTGAGCATGATGAAAAGATAGCGGCCATTTTAAAGCCTTTAAAGCCTTTAAAGCGGAACTACACTATTTGTAGCTACTTGCGCCCTCTATACAGCTAACAATGCCTAAACGGAACCCGTTGATCCCCATGGTCCCCTTTTTCTTACGTTAATTAAGAGCTGATTTGTTGAGATAACCACCTGCCAGTGACCACGCAGGGAGGTATAATCCCTCCTGGCCATGCTAGTGTAGATAGGCTTTAAACTCAAGTTTTCATCTCCTATTCAAATGAATACGAATTCAGGAGAAATTAATGTCGTTCTTGGTGTTATGAAAGGACGTAGGAGAGATGACAGCCATTATTTCTCTGGCTGATATACTCCACCTAACATTTTACTCGGATGGACATTGAGAGATGCTCTCATTTCCATTTCACATAAAATAAATTCGAAAGAATTCGTACAAACAGAAAAACGTCTTATATTCTATTTTTTAATTTTGTGTCAGGAAATGGTGAGATCGATTTTGCTGACTTCCTGTCACTCATGGCTCGACCAATCACCGATGCGAACACGGAACAAGAAATCAAAGAAGCGTTTAGAGAATTCGATAAAGACGGCGACGGATTCATAAGGTAAACTAATCCATAGTCATGAATGTTCTCTAACCCAATTCTAACCCTACTCTACAGCACAATTGAAACGTTTGCTTAATTTACATACTATTCGCTTTTCAGTTCCCTACGACCACTATATGAATGATCTAAAATGCACGAGTTCCCTTATTTGTGTTAATTTGACTTGTACGTTGATCTCATGAATCATATTGTCTGCTCACCAACCATGCCAACACGTTGTATGAGCAGTTCTCTTTGCATGTGTGGAATACAGGAATACTAAATCCTTGGGTTTGATTCAAGGTATAAGAAATGGACAATTTTGTGATGTTTATTGAGTCCATTTCCGAAATTCCACATGAAATTCCTGAAAACACTGTAAGTCTCCATTACCATTCGGTCTTCAATTCAAATAGGCTATATAAACCATGTTCCGCAAGATGCTACATAATCACCTGCAATTAAGGCCCTCCTACTTTTAGCTGAAAAAATTGTCCGAACAATGATGATAATAATCTGAGTTTTATATACTACTTATCGACGATGTATCTTAGCACTTTACATATATATTATTACCCCGTTCACCAAAATTCAGGCTTGCCCGCATAAAATGAATGCACATTCTCCATTCCCGGGGCAGCATTTTACAGACGATCACAGTGTCCTACCGGGTTCCTAACTAACACCTGGATGGACAGTGGCAAATGTCGATGAACGTGATTAGTGTTTTGCCAAACTTCAAAAATGACGTTAGGTTGGGATTCGACCCCTCAACCCTTGGAATGAACCACCATACCACGGCATCTCCGACAACTTGACTTTAAAATGTCTCAATTACTAGAGAGTGAAGATGGAAATTGGATGACATGTAGACCTGGAAACTCGGCTGGAGATCTCTACATATGTACAGTATACATCCGGTATTACAAGGTAGTAAGGTGACCTATTTTTAACAAAGCTCACATATTGTCTTTGAATTTTGGTCTACACGTCAGTGTAACAGAGTTCCGTTATGCGATGTCGACGATCGCGGATACCCTCACCGAGGAGGAGCTTGAGGAGATGATCGAGGAGGCCGACGCTCACGGCGACGGTCAAATCAACTACGAAGGTTAGACTTTCTTCATTTTATTTCTCTCTATATAAATTACTGTTGCCTATCATAGTCGCTTCAATACCACATCTATATTTCAGATCATCATCATCATCTCATTCCCCCTCCGCTGTTTCGGAGATCAGCGATCCCATGGGCCGCAAGACAGTTAAACTGGTCACAGGAGCACAAGAGTGAAGCTAAAGAGTAACATCAAGGCAATGGACTGATAGCAGTCGATCCCGATAAGTATATTTGATAAACATAGAGCACCATCACAATTTCCTCTTCTTTTTTTTTTATTATCAGATTTCGCCAAAACGATAGCAGAAATGTGAAGGGCTTACACCATGTACGCAAACCAGCTGTGACGTCGTCACGTGACTAATGGAAGTGCCCCAGTCAGGAGCGCTGGTCGGCTGCTACTACATGGTTACCACAAGATCAATTCCAAGCGTTACGGAATTATATTTCCAGAGAATAGTCCATGTTGAATAAGGTATTTGTAGACACTTTAATGAAAGTCTACAAAATAAGTAATATACTATTTTAACTAATATGTCTTTCTTTTGCACTATTTCAGTTTCCTTTCCACATTCATCAAATTTATGGATGATGGTATTTTACATATTTTTTTTACAGAATGGCACGTAGGGTACTGTTGTGGTCTTTCTGTTACTATGAAGCTACTTTAAATGTAATACTATATAAATTTGATTAATGGTTCATGGGAAACCCAATATTAGCTTACATCATTAATTTGTAGATATGGTGATTTACATTTAAAAGTGTATAAATATTCATTATTCAAATTTCAGAATTCTCTGGAAAATGTCATTCCGTAACGCTTGGAGTTGGCCAAGTTACAAACATGACATATAATCTCTATATCAACTTGAAAGTAGCTTATTATTTTCACTTATCAAACTATTTACAACTTGTTTTCACATCAAGAGGGTAAATAACATTTTGACATGATTAATCTCTATCAAACTAAGGCGTTAATTATTGTTCTGTAAATGCAATTTAATAAGGTGACCATTTTCATCGTATAGAGGTGAACCATTGGAAAGCGTGATGTGCTCAATACAGTAATGCATTGATCCATGCGTAATGCCAGCAAACCAGATGCATGCAAACCTTCCACAATGTTCAGCTCCCCTGAATACAGCTGTCAGGTTTGTTTACATTGATATCATGACAATGAGAGACTGCCTTCTGATTAGAATGAGCCATTATGGTAAATACTTGTTAAGGTTTATTTGACCGAAATAAAACACATCCTAGAGAATGCCGTCTCCGTTGTCACACGCTTGGTGAAATTCGTGGTTCGGTTAACAATTTCAAAACGAATTTCGCGCTCGAATGCAACGCCAAGGTGTCGCCAAACAAGGGTGCATCAGAGTACCTGGTTGATATAGCACCGATAAAGAATGTGCAAGTTAGGGGTTGGTCGTGGAGCCAACACGAAAATCATTAAGGCGGGACTAAGACGCGTGTTTGAAATACCAAGGAAGCTTCAGCAATCAATAGGTTTCTTTCATCTTTACAAGGATGCCGCTGTAGAAAAGCGCAAGGCCTCTTTTGCCTCTTTCTGTCATTTCTGTAAGTCATCTAAACAATGTAATTTATTGAATTTCCGCAGACCAAAGCAGACGAAATCGGAAAAGTTTTTTTCGGGGAAGGATGATGTGTAAAGGGAGTGGGATGCCAGTGCAATCTTTATGTCATTTCAAAGAGGAAAATTGTATATATATATATATATATATATAAAACATGTATATGACAGTGTACGTAGTACTATACTTTCGTCAGTTCTACACGATCTATACTTGGTTGTTTCACAATAAATGGAATAAATATGAAAACCACACACCGTTTCCGTAATGGCTTATGAATACGAAGTTCGGGTAATCTAGATTATTATGGTGTTAAGGTAGAAAGTAATTTCGTGAGTGTCATTAATATTCATTCTATGCCCCTTTGAAAGAAAGTCATAATTTAAACGTCCCCTCAAATTATCATTTTTCAAATGCTCTTATAATTATATATTATGATTTTATGACAAGAAATAGCTGAATGGAATTTGTCTTGACTCATGCCACATGACTGTATGTATAGTGTGTATCCTGTATGTGCTTGTCATGAAAAGTTTTCATGATTCCAAAACGTCACCACTCACCAGTCATCATGATCATGATCATAGAAAGCAGGAAATTCCTAAGGACCACTTCCCAAATTACTTCCAGACAATTTCGTGCGATGTTTTAGCATGCCCAGAACTGACCTTTATCATTAAAACCTCAAAGTGTGTGTGTGTGCGTGCGTGTGTATTAACTTCCCCCACCCCCCACCCCCCCCCAAAAAAAAAAAAATCATGAGAGGTTTGGAAGGCTTTATTATGTATATGAATGACAGAGTTGCATGTACATGATGATAACACCGAAATCCACCCCCCTCCCCTCTCATACATTTTGAGAAAGTTTCATGTCGGGGAAAATATCTGGATCTGCAGTTACAAGCTGTGGTCAGCTTATAATTGAAGTCACGCGAGTGAGTGAGTCGCATGCGGCTTACGACTTTGTTGACTCTTTAGTGGTCGATACTGATCTATACCTTGAAGAAACCGCAACAATGTCAGGCTTGATACACCTGAGCGGAAGTCTGGAACAGTCTTTGTGATCAAGGTAACTTTACTTAAAAGGTATAACAAAGTTTTGGTATGGGGTCATGAATTTGGTTCAATTAACATATTGGAAGCATATGCGTTCCTACAATATACATTGATCGTTGTCGCGGTTGAAATCGAGTCTAAAGTTATGAAATTATAATTAATAAACTCTATATGTTGTATAGCTCCCTCCCAAGGTCAAATATTAATTTAGCTATGAAACAATGTTTCTTGACTAAAATCGACCGATTGGCTATTCCCGTTTGGAAATTATATAACCCAATTACATATTCTGAGATTGTCATGGTCGCAGCTACCATTGTATATGGCCATAGGCGCTATTTGAAATTTATCAAAATTTACCGGGAGCTGACATGAGGAACAATGGAGCTATGTTTCGGGAATAATCTCGTCGCAAAGATTACATCACTGCTAGGATATAGTATGCAAGCACATACTCCAGAGAATGACAGACAAAGGTCCGGCTCAAGAATTTATGGAATTGTCTTTAATTTAATAATTATTACTTTCAATAGTATTATTGCCATTTACTATTATCATCATCGTCAATATTATTACCATCTTCATCGTCAGTTTTCTCAGTTTTCCCCTATTAAAAAAAATACTGTAAACACCACAAAATTAATGAGATTTCTTTCTTTCTTTTACTTCTTCTTTAATAGCTATCTTTTCTTTGTTATATATATTCTTCTGCGTCGTGTCAACAATACTTGTAATTGTTTCAGGATTGTATCGAGAAGATTAAATGAAGAAGGCCTATCAAAAGACAACGCAAGGACAAACCATAAGAGGAGGAAATAATTATATCGTCAACATCTACATGTAGATGTTTCTTAACGAGTCACTGAATTGGTGCTAAGTACCTATTCAAGACACATTTGATGACGTTAATAGACAGGGATTATCCTAATCCGTCCTGATCCAAAGCGGATATGATCTGCTTGGTCGATGTCGCGTGTTGGAGGAAGCCTTGGTGTTTGATCGGAGAAACATTAACAGAAAACGAATTCATGAATGAAAAAGAGGATGTGATAATAATTTGAAACTAGATCGATAGAGAGAAGAAGAACCCAAAAAGTGATATAAATTGAGTGAAGCGGTAGAGAGAGAGACAGAAGAGGGATAGAGATGCGAAAAGTCAATACAGATGGACAGGAAGGGGGTGGGGCGAAAAGTGACGAGACAACACGAGAGAGGCATGGTATACCAATATAGCCATATTATGTGACAAATTGTGTCCATGAAATACACGTGAAAGGAAAGAGATGACAAATGAGAGAAAAAAAGAAGGAGAAGAGAGGGAGAGAGAGAGAGAGAACAAGGGAGAAAGAGAAAGAGAGAGAGACAGAGAGAGGGGAAAGAAGAAAATAAAGGGAGAGATGAGGGAGAGAGCGAGAGAGAGAGAGGGGGGGTGAGAAGAGATAGAGGGGGAAGGAGAGGGGGGAAATAAGAGAGAGAAAGAGACAGAACGAAAGAGAGAGAGAAGAGAGGGAGAGAGAGGGAGAGAGAGGAGGCGGCAGTGGTATCCGCAACAAGTGACTAATCACAGCATTTTACGCGATGGGTGAGACCATAGACGTAATACACGTTCATGTATAGCCTAAATATCATGTTCTAAAATGGCCATTAACAATGATTCGTCATACACACGACAACATGGAGTAATGGCGGTAAACCTTGATAATTAATGCTTTCCCTACATAAGGGTTGGACAACCATGGACTTCATGAACAATATGGAACTCCCTGCATGCGTCAATCTGAGTGTCAGGAGTGGGATTCGATCATGATAGAGTCAATGGTGGTGTTTGCAACATGGGAATACATTCTATTATTATGTCGGTGGTGACTGATTTGCCAGGTGCTTAATCAGGAATGAGTGGGGGATTTCCTTCGCAAAGTACCAACATTGATTACCACAGGTGTGCGTGATCGGGGCACGTTTCACAAGACCGTCATGAGTACCTGTCCGCCGACATCCCATTTATAATGTACGCGTTTTATTGGGATGTCGGTGAACTTGTATTTATGACGGTGCCCAAGACACGAAGTTACGAATACAAACGTATTATTGATTATTAATGAAATCGACTAGAAAAAATATGTGTGACAAGGGAGCTATTGATCATGGTTTAACTTCGAATTGAATATCAGGAAGATATAGAAACGCATCTTTAAAAAGTCGCAATAAGCACTAGCGAATCAACCTGGTTTTTTTAACCAGGGACCTCGAGGTTTCTAAGCCATCGCGCATCCTCTCAAATTCGGTTGCAAGCGTAACGACTGAAGAAGGCCATCGGAAAAAGATAGACAGAACACAATAGAAATATTGATCACTTGGATTGACTTTATGAATGAGAGACATTGTGTTCTTTAAAAGGGTATGACGTCAATTGAAATGTATCATCTCAAAAGACCATGTTTTACTACCAGAGTAACAAGACATCCCTAAAAATCAATTAGTATTAACAATATAATTATTCAATAAAACTTTAAAACATTAGTGGCCTATAATAATAATAAGGTGGGTCAAAATAGCACTTACTAACTCGGCTATGTCTCTAAGCGCTTTAAATATAAGTATGTTATTCCGGTCATCGGATTCAGGCTTGCCCTCACACAAAGTGTGCACATTCTCCACTCCATTCTCCACAGTGTTCAGCAAACTACAATGAAGTTCGCATCCTACATAGTACCTATTTAACACCTGGAAGGCAAACGCGGATTGACGTCTTGCCAAAAGACGTCAATCCGCGCTGGGATTCGAACGTTCAACCTTACCCTTGGATTGACGGTCAAGTGAATGAACCGCTATGCGAGGCACCTCTTGACAACTTAACTCTAAAATGTCTGTTTTATAAGCAAATGAAGATGGAAACTGGATGAGATACACCTGGAAACTCAGGTACAGATTTGTGCATTCTTTTTCGGTACATCCGAATATGGAGCGACTACTTTTTAACAGAGTGCATCATACTGAGTCACAATACAGAAATATGGAATTTTGTTTTGACATTAAGAAGGGACAATGAATAATCCGTTTGCATATAGCGCTTGACAAATTATGATAAAACATCCCGTTGCGCTTCCAAAGAACTTTGGAAATTATTACCCTAGCTTTAGCTCCGGCACCTGTTATCACCGCATATTGCATTTCAAGGAATAACCCTACCAGGTACCCGTTAACCTCACCTGGGTTGAGTGTGGCAAAATTGTAGAATGACGATTTGCCAAAGGTTTTTTTTTCACTCTCGTTTTATTAATTCTTTAATCATGATTTCGAAATTTTACAACATATATACCAAACATAAGTTCATAAAACCATACATGTCTTTTGTTGTTTTAAGTATGTTATTATTATGGATGTGAGTATTGTTGCAGGGATGCGAACCTCGTACCTTGTGGTTCACAGTCCGCAGACTAATTATCCACAGGACCACACTTCTACATACATAATGATGGATACAATACAGAAGACAGAAGACTGAACGGAGACAGAAATTTGGTAACTCCTAGATATAATAATACTCACTTTGAACCTCTCTTATCTTGTTATATCAAATATAAACAGTCTGACCCAAAGTCGAACATCCTTGATAAACTATTCATTTATTTTTCGTCTGAATCAAACCGAAAAACTAGTGCCAGTCCAGGTGAAATTTCTTTCTCTAAGCTATATTTCGCAGGTGCTAATATATCCGCGTAAAATAAATCCTCGGGAAGCACAAAACCAATGTAGTTCTTGAGGGCGAATGTACAACTTTTGCAGAATAGGTGGAGAGTGCTTGGAAATCGTAGTATGTCAATATCAGCGAAGTGGATTCTAAATTCTGAATCACTCCAACCAAGGACCTACGTAGAATGTATGCAATGTCACTACGCGACAAACCGGCTAGATTTCAGACTGTGGATTTACCGCGCTAGGCTTCTCCCAGGTCCTCCGAGCACGAAGTCATACAACACTAACACTTTATTATCAGCGGCGTGCGATATGTTAAAATGATACGACTGGGTGATTAAGGCTACGAAGTGTGACCTGTCAGAAGGTATGTAAGTCCCCCTTGTCACTGGTTGACTGGCTTTACGAACAATAGAAGGCAAATCGCCTAATCGATGAACGTCTATTCGGCAAGTGTGAACGTTCAAAAGGCTAGCTTCCAAGTTATGCCCCCTCGCTCGCTGGAAAGCTTTTGACGCCTTTTGCGAAATATAGCAAGAACCAGTTTACCCTATTGAGCTATAATCTTACGCAAAGAATAACCAACATCAGCTTCAGGTACGCCATTCTCGTTTAGGGGGTATTCTGTTTTTTGTTTAGTTCCACCTCCCACGAAATTGTACCTAATTGAGTAAGGAAAACAGGGATTGGCTTGAGTAGGGTGATGATTACATCTTTGAAGATCATTCACTCCTATCAGATATTGATTAATGATTTCTATCCGTGTAATCGGTACTTTTACAATGGGGAGCGGGAATGAAAGGAAGATATTCCAATAATATTATCAGCCATCATTTTAATAACCTAATTTCGCCTAAACTATAACGATCGTTTGCGAAAAAAAAGGTGTTCATATTATTTCAGTGTCATTAGCCAGGGTCCAGGGATTGCAAACACAGGGTCGGATATACCTAGGATTAGTATTGGCCTTCGAAGAATGTAGGCATACAACATGAATCAAATAAAAGAGACCTAAAGTCAACTGCAGTGACGTATCCAGCAAAAAGGGAAACCAAACAGAGGTTGAATATACCAGTTCGGCCAGAGGGGGTTTGAAATATACCTTGTACAATGTGTAAAAGGGAGCACACGCTAATAGAACGACGTAATGCTGGCTGGATCCACCAATCAAATATGATTCGGGTTACGATTAATTTAAAGTGTCTTAAACTGCGGTATTTCTGAATTCAATAATAAATTTACTTAATTATCATAATAACCATCCACCACTTCATCCCACAACACACACGCACACACGCCACGCACTGAAAGACCATCAGTGGATAAGACCATTACCACGGCATCAGTGAGCTCGGTAGACATTATATATCATCCAGGAAGATAAGCTCATCCCGTTTATAAAGCATCATCTAAAACAAACAATGATAGTAACAAACTAACTCATAAAAGCGCTTCAAACAAGTGAAAATAGCCCCCCCCCCCCACCCATGACCTAAACAGACAACAATTAAGAGCCCCGTATACTCCGCAAAAAGTACTTCAAACAAGTGAAAATATCCCCCCCCCCCCCTGACCAAAACAGACCACGATTAAGAGCCCCGTATACTTCCTAAAAAGTACTTCAAACAGGGGGAATAGCCACTTGACCATTGCCTATAAGCAATAAGCCTTCTTAAAGACTTGATACTTGAGTGGTCCATTGAGATTCAAAGACAAGTTACTGTAATCCTTGGTGTAGCGTGCGTCCATCCATTGAGAGGGCCTTTGTACGATGGAGGGGGCGGTCTTAATTACTCGGAAAATGGATTTCGACTTTACAAATGTATTTACAAGGCTGATTAAGGGGATGGTGCAAGGGGCGCTCCAGGGCCCTTTTTCAGAAAACTCGTTATCAAACACAAACGCTAAATGTCAAATTTGCTCTCAACCAATCAAATTCTACAATTTCAGTAACTTATAACAGTTACTATAACTTCTTATTGATACCAAGTTTCATGAAACAAGGCGAAGGTGTTTTCATTTTCAAGTCTCTTTTCCCGCATTTTCTTTCTTGTTTCCCTTTTTTGTGTATTTTGTATTTTCCCTTCTCATTACTCTATGAACTTATTTTAATTCTATCCCCTTGTGCCTCAGAATAGTTTACTCCACTCCCTGTAATACTTGTTTGGTTTGAAGATGGTGTATCCTTCTAAGGATTTCAAGAGTGGATTAGAAAGGGGGTTACATCACACCCTTGAGGTTCCTATCTAGGCTTAAATGAAGCCATTGTCTGGATGGTAGTACACTTGAACTTCATCTGAATCCAAATTGACGAAAGCTCCTCTGAACAATCGTTTTCTTCTAAAAAGCCAAAGAGCAAATTTGGATTCACTCGACTGCGTTCATATGTACTTGAAACTGATGTCTTAATTGCGATGTAAACACTGGTAAATAGAACACAAACTTGACATCGGAAGTGTAGACACGACTCAAGTGTAAATGCTCATCAAATACCCAACCAAAAGTTAAAGTAAGGGATTTTAAAAGATTGTAAAGGCCTTGCTATTTATCTTTGTAAGAGCAAGTTTATCTATCATTTTCTGCGGTCCTCTTTTTGTATATTTTATATTATATTTATTAATTCATCAGTATTATTATATTATTAATTTATTTTTCTTGGGAGGGGGATCTCGGGCATCTGATACATACAGTGTTTCTCACTATAACATTTCCATTGTGTCTGACCTAGTATGTTGTAGATACTGTTCAGTTGGCACTCGACGAATACAGTCTAAAGCACGTTTTAAAAACACAAAACATTTGATTTGTTATCTTCTTTTACAATATTCATCAGATTTTAACATTCGAATGAAAATAGATTTTGAAGAGGAGCGGAAATTCACTCAGATAACCAACCAAATGTTAAAGTAAAAGTAAAATGAATGAATCAGACTCTGATTTTGATATGTCAATCAACTTTCAACTCGTTGTCCTTTTTTCACAAAGTGACGCTTTCGCTTACTATACCTAAACTCGTGCATTTATTTATGAATGGACCTTAATTGAATCATGTCACCGTACAAAACAGGATGCCCGGTATAAGGAGCTGTATTCTTTCATTTTAATGCGTGCGATGGATGATGAGGAAAGAATACTTTACCATTCAACAGCTTTCAAGTTATACAATGGTTCTATTTTAGTCACTTAATCCTAATAGACACTGTTGACATGATTAAAGTTCTGTTTTTAAGAAACTCAAATCAGTTTGACAGATTTCCTTGAATAGTATCGAATATAGAGCAATTTACTTCAGTCATACATCAGTAAATTGCCCCGACTCCATTTTTCTCTCTCTCTCTCTCTCGACTTTGGATTAAGAAAGAAATGGAAGATGGGAAAATATGACGGGGAGAAACTGAGTTCTGTGATATTGATGGTTTACATGGACCAGACACTATTACAAAATATGTACTAATTGCAGGCTTGCATCTAACACGGATACAAATCATCTTTAGTCCCCCTTTCCTTTAATCAGTTAATTTAATTTATTTTGAAAGGTTAATGCGACCCTGCTCTCACGTCTAGGTCCATGGTTGATGTGAATATACCGGTTTACTAACATATTCAAATTGTATGCGCAATTTTTAAACAAAGGTTGTTTTTGACATCCTGAAGGCTTGCCCGACATAGCAACACATAACGTATGCAGACTGAATTCCAAATTGTAGTCCGTTCATCAATACAATTTATTGGAAAAACTCGATCGTCACTAGGGCCCTAGGAAATAAACGTTAATGAATTTGAATATGTAAACCGGTCTATTCGCAAAAAATAAAACCGGGGCTCAAGTTGTGTTTGGTTGGGGCCATTTTGGTTTCCCCTCTCAATACTAACATGATCAATAACACACTTAACCCGTTGACTACTGAATTCTCTAATTCCCATAGACTTAACACAGGGACCACCAGGTTCCAGTAAACAATGGGTTAATTGCCAAGTTAGGCAAAATTCTGACAAATCGAACAATGAGTATGAAGACCAGAATAAGAGTATTGAATTGTTACATCTACCCAGTACTTATGTGTGGTAGTGAAACATGGACTTTAGCCTCTGATAACTATAAAAAGCGTTTGGAAAGTTGCGAAATGTGGTTTTTAAGAAGAATGATGAAAATCCCCTGGACTGACAAAGTTAGTAATGGGGAAGTTCTTACACGAGCTGGAGTGTAAAGGAAAATGATACGTGAGATGTTGATTAGGCAGTTGAAGTTCATGGGTCACATTACACATAAAGAAGGCCTAGAGAATCTTGCTTTGACAGGGAAAATTGTGGGAAGAAGGAGTAGGGGAAGATGGAGGATACTTTGGATGGACAGTCTGCAGAAATTGTTGGAAGAGAGAGGAGTGAAAGAACTAGGAGTGGCACTAATACAGAAGGCTAGGAGCCGAGGGTTGTTGAACAGCATGATCGCCAAAGTCAAACGATGTGGCACTTAGAGAAAGAAAAGAATTGCCCCTGTGCCTGTTTTGTCAATGCTTTATATTACATTTCAGGACTCTAACAGTTTTCGTTTGCTCTCGCCAAAACACACTATAATAGAGCTTAAGAAGCCATCGCCTCGAAGGCTAAACAGGGGGTTTAAAACTCCTTGAATGGCTGAAGATAATAATAGGTTAATTAGACTGGTTTTCGAGGGTCGAGCATAAACACGCCATTTAAGAAGGAAAAGATGCTTCCGATTTAACAAATCCGTTCACTCAAAAGGCCGAGTTTTTGTCAGTCAAGATTATGTTAAGCCTCAATATAATTGTCTGATCTAAAAATGAAGAACAGACAATGAGGATGGAGATCGTGAAGGGCGCTTTCAAGATTTTGCAAGTAGCCCTTTTTAAGTTTTTATAAAATCAAGCCCCGAATTCGTAATTAATCTGACAGGGAATTTTGGAACATTGTTTCCATGTCGTAACGATGTATACCCATTAGATACTTCACAATACTGATAGAAAGATGTGTAACCTTTTTACGACATAAAGACATAACGATATAAGGAGTCCATGAAGAAAACTGGGGGTAGAGAGAGAGAGAGAGAAAGAGATAGAGAGAGGGAAAGAGGGGAATAGGTAGAGCTGGTATGAAAAGGCACTACAAATTATTCAATTCCACAATAATGATTAGGCAATTGTTATTTTTAAATGTTTTTTCCTTTTTTCTTTTTTTCTTAACAAAATTAAATTCATGAAAATGGATTTGCAACCAAATTACTTTCCACCAGCACACATT